TGGAAAGAAAAGCAGCGAATGAAGTGGCAGGAAAATAAGAAGCTGGGGAGCAGCATCTAGAAGCCCTGTGCAAAACCATGGATGAGGAAGGATGATATGGCGAGGAAAGCATTGACTGGAACAGCCTTGGCCAGGCGTGCTTAGTCCTTCCACGATATTGGAAGAGACGAACCAGAAGCTTCAAGCAAGGCGGGTCAAGATTTGACACAGAAGTGGGGAAGGGAGAGGAGAGGGAGGGAGCCTTGATTCCTTCCCCAAGGGATCTTTATGGAGGCAACCACCCCCCTACGCCCATCTCTGCCTTGAGTCCTCACATGCAGTGCTGAGGCAGCGGCTGCCGCTTCTGCATTCCTCGGAGACGGGGCTCATGGCAGCCAACTTCGCATTCCTCCACTTTTCCACCCACCCAAGCACTGACCAGACCACGGCTGCAGCCTCCCGTGCCTTTGGACTCTGGCCTTGGGCTGCAGTGATGTCTCGAAACTAGTGAAGCAAGAACGGTTCTGTTCTCCTAGTCCTATGGGGATTGGGATGTGTGTGTGTGTGTGTGTGTGTGTGTGTGTGTGTGTGTTGAGGGGTCGGGGTGCCTTCCCACAATTTCAAAGGAACGAGCTTGTCAGCACAAGGAACGCAGAGAAGCAGCCATGGCCCCTTCACAGTAGCATCTGTTTCAAGCATCGATCAAAACGTTCCCAGCGGGGCCCCTTTCCTCCCCTTTGAGCCAGCAGTGCCATCTGCTGCTCTTGCTCCCCTTCCATTGCCTGATCGTCCCTCTTGTTGGTTCGCCGGACAGGTAGAGGGACCAGGAGCAAGTTGGCCGGGCTTGTCATCGTCCTCCTCCTCCTCCTCCTCGTCCTCCTTCCAACCCAGTGCCTGGGCCAGCGTGAGGCGCTGCAGTGAACAGGAGAAGCAAGTCCCAGGGTCCCCATCACTAGACCCCTGCTGAGGTGTGAGCCATTGGCAGGTGCCCAGCCAGGCTAATGTTTGCTCACAGTGGCGTTGGAGCAGCAGCACCACATGCATGTTGCCCACACCCAGGTCAGAGACATGGGATGTGGTCTGAGCACATGGGTCTGAGGAAGCGCAGCATTCGGGGCACCAAGCTCTGTGCCATAAGGCAATACTTGCTGCCAGGATCTAGGCAGCTTCAGGGCTCCCCCTGCTGGACGAACACCAGAATCACAGCCCTGGTGGTTGCAGGATTGGCTGCAGCTGCCAAGGGCACCACCTGGAAGCCCACCTGGAAGCCCTGGGGGAAGAGCTATTTAAAAGGGTCCCTTCCATCCGGCAGCTGCCTCTGCAATGCTGGTCTCTGCTGTACTGAAGAGCTTCCTGTGTTTGGGCCCGGCTCCTGGACCCGGTTCCTGCTCTCCACGGTACTCGCCCCTTTGTGCTGTCTCGCTGCCTCTTGATGCCTGCTCTGTGTTTGACTGCTCCCTTTTCCCTGGGCTCCTGGCTTGACTTTGGCTTGTCTGATGCTGCAGCTTGGCCTTGTACTTTGGACTGGTAACTGGAGTTTGGCCTTGACTGCCTTGCCTAGTTTCCTAGGCCCTGGTGCATTCTCTTCCCCCCAGCCGCCTGTGTCCGGGACCCTTCGACCTGCGAGGTCTAGCTGGCTATGACATGGCAAAGTGGTCTATCAGCAAACATGGAGCTGCCGCTGAAGGTGCCTCTCTGTAGGTCTGCCACTGACGGGCTGGGAGTGTTGGTCACTCGCTGAGGCCCGTGCCTCATCAGGGCCCTGCTCTTGGAGCCTGGTGGCCCACCTGCTTCCGCTCCTTGTTTTTGCTGCCTGGTCAATTACACTCTGTGCACAAGCAAGCAGAGAGAGGACTGGGCCAGGCGGAGCTGCAGCTCTGCAGGCAAACGAAGGTGCAGGGCAACCAGCAGTGGGGAGCTGGGGACCCACTCCAGGTGGGGCCACTGAGAGTATTTATCCCAAGGATACCCTAAAAATAAGAACTGGGAGCACACCACGACCAGCTCCAGGTTTTGGAGGAGACCTTGGTTGGTCTGTATTCTCAGTGTTGCTGCTGCTGCTCACCGTTGCTTCCACCTGGTCAGAGAGCCAGGGAGCAAGCGGGCCACGGCATCCCTCCTCCTCTCCTCACCCCCTCCACCACTGTCTGAGCCAGAGTGGGAAGCAGGTGAACAAGCAGGTTGCAGAGGTGAGCAGCTCCAGGTGGCCCTTGTCTGCACTGGGATCATAGAACAGCAGAGTTCGAGGGCCTTCGGGGCCATTGAGTCCGGCCCCACTGCCCAGTGCAGGGCTCCACTCAAAGCAGCCCTGATGGGAGGCCCTCCGGCTGCCTCTTGACTGCCTCCAGGACTGTGCTTCTTCAGCAGGCGCCCAGACATTCCTACCCGTGGCTCAGGCCTTGTGCTTCCTCCCAGTGTCCGCTTCTTTCCCCATGTGGCAGCTCCTGAAATACAATGGACATGCAGTGTGCACAATCCCACACCGGCACATGGTGGGTTTCTTCCAGTGCATTCCTGCCTACCAAATTTTACTTGTGCAATGATTGCACCTCTGTCCTGCTGCATCGTAGAGGCTCTCCAGATGTCAAAGGCACAGAACTTTGTTCTGCCGAGCTTGAGTGGCAGTCAGAGAATGTACCCATCCGAGCACGTATGCTCTTGAAATTCCTTAATGGAGGAATTGCACCTAGTGGGTTTTCTTCAGGCATCAGCGGCATCTGTCTCCCCTCCCCCCATACTATTCCTTTAAGATAGATTCCCCACCCTTCCCCATTCTGCTTCTGCATGCTTTGATCTAAATTTATCTCCTTCCCACGCAGAGCGAATCGGCGCCTCTTCTTTTACTACCATACATTAATTATATAAGGCGTGCAAGATCGTGGAGGATTGCTTGCTGACAGCCCCTATCTTTCTTGCTTGCTTTCTTGCTTTCTCTCTCACTCTCCCTTCCTTGCTTGCTTGCTTGCTTGCTTGCTGGAGTATCAAGTCGCATTGCATGTTGCTTCGTCGGCAGTCCAGCCGTCGTCTTCTGCCTTGAGTCGGTTTCTCCCCTGGGTTCAAACTTCGCCTCTTGCACAATGCCACACCTCTCCCTGCCTCCCTTTCCACGGTGAAGGCGCCTTCCAACAGACTGGGTGGGTGGGGGGAGATGTGTGCGGTGCAGCTCCCACTGGTGCCATTTCGTTCTGTGTGTCGCACCCTGATTTCTCGCTAGTCATTTGTTGCCAGTTATTTGTTCAGATGCTGCACATGCAGATTGCCTAACTTTTGCTAATTGTTTTGGCAAGGGATAATGGAAGACAAATGGGCCAGTTGCAGTGGCTAGTGGGTTTGCCTTCTGGCAAGCAAGCAAATCCATGCATTAGATGTGGCCAAGCTCTTTGTAAAAGGGCAAAGTCACTCCTGGCCAGTAATGCAACCGGGTAATTTTAGACCCTGAACTTAATGGTCTTAAGGGGAGGCCTTTGACAGAACTAAGTGTGGCTTGCATTTATTTTTCTTCTCCCAGCCGCCCCTGTTCATTACCATTGACCCTACTTTGCCTATACGTTCAAGCATAGCCTGCCCCAAAGAAACAAACCAAAATGCCCATCTGTCAATTCCAATTTAAAAGACAAAAGGGATAAATGCTCAGAGCACAGAAAGTTCTGCACTGAAACCTCTCTCATACCCTGATTCCACTTCTGACTTTGGGAACAACATGCAGGAATCTTCTGTTTCCTTGATGCTTAATACACATTTAATAGGTGATGAAGTGCCTTTTTGTTGTAGAAAGGGAGGGGGCGTTTTAATGGAAAAGTAACACAAACAGGGCGATTTTATGTGTGCTTAGACAGAAAAATACTGGAAGTTGTGGGAATTTTTTTCTGTCTGAAGATGTTCAGGATTGCATCTGTATGGGCAACAAATTGAAGGGAGTGGGTAGCTGCTCCAGAAGTGGAGGAAGAGCCAGGCTTGGAATCTGCAACTGAAATGTCCAGAAATAAGCCAGACGGTCATTGAGAAGCTGCCAGTTTCAAGTTGGGGAAGAATTCTGGGGAGCAAACTGCGATGGGTGGGGTGGAGCTAACTTGATGCTGTGCAAAAGATGTTAAGAGGGTGGACTGATTAAGAAACACGAGATTGTCGGGGTGTCTGGCCCAGGATCAGCACAATCCAGTGTGAAAACGGTGTCAGCTTCTTTTGCTTTTCTTGGGAGGGGAGCCATGCCCACATTTCCCCAGCGGCCAGTGTTCTAACTTTGCTGGTGTCTTTTGCAATTGACTTCACATCAATGAGCTAATCAGCTTCAGCACGATAAAGACTTCAGTAAGAAGGCCCTTGCTCTGGTCTCCTTGCAAGGAGGGGGGAAAGACGGGCTCTTGGCAGAGAACACGCAAAATTGGTGAAACCGGCTAGGCAGGCATGGTGTACTGGGAACCACCTGATGTGATGGGAAAGTGAGCATGGCCAGCTGGGGAAGCTTGGCGGGGTGCATCCGGACTTCACGAGGTGTGGCTTGCCATGTTGTCTGAACCCAGAATCGTGGTTTTCACAGCCCTGGGATGCAACTACCACACAGCTATCTAGAAAGAAGAGCGGATGAGGACCCCTTCCAGCCATCCGGCCACTCTGCGTGGACCAATGGGGAAGAGGCAGGCAACACTGCAACTCGGGTGAATTTCAGGCACTGTGGCTGATGGAAAACATGCTAACAGCAGGAGGATGGAAACCACGATGACTTATGGTCGACTTGACAGGCAGTCAAGTGTTTTCTGGCAAAAACACACACCATGGGAACATACCCAGGGGTGCTTTGTGTGAATGCCGCCATCGTGTCCCCTCTGGCCCTGAGTGAAAGAGCAAAGGGATATAGGAGAAGGCTGACTCCCAGTTCCCCTGGAGCAAGGCCATGCCCCTCCCCGATTAACCACAATTAGACATGCCCATGGCATCGCAGAGCAAATTCTTGTGCTCCATTTTAGAACTGTGATGGCAAAGGCATTATGAAATAGTAAATGTGTGTCTTTCTTTACTTCCAGATCTTCAGACGAGCTGACAAAAACGGTAAGTCTCCTTCCTTATTCATGGAATGCGTGTGTTTGTGTGTGCGTCTATTTAGCACCAGCTGCACTTCTGTCCTTGTGGTTGAGTTGCTTTAGCAGGAAGGGGCACAGCCCCAAGCTCCCGAGGGAGGGCATGGAAAGCCAGGCAGGCTGGGATGAATTCCTGTTCCATCGGGTTTGGAGGAAATGGGTTGTATCTCACAGAGCACCATGAAGGCAGCCGGGGCCAGGTCCAGGGCCCCAGGGCCCCCGATAGAGGGCTACAGGTGGCTTTGAGTCTTCTTCCTCCGTTGCCATTGGGCCGCTAAAGCAGGCGTGGACCCATGAACTGCGTGTGGCCCATTCCCTGCATTAAGCATTGCTATTTATTTATTTAATTCATTATTCTGATGGAATGCAATTGCTTTTAAGAAAGTAGCATCTATAATGGCTTTCAAGCAACAAAGCTCATTTGGAGCACTCTTTATACGCTCTGGACATCATTTTTTTAGTTCTTGGCACTCATTGAGGGGTGCAGTCCCTGGGGGAGTCCAATGGGAAAAATATCCTCAGATCTGTTCCCCCGTGCAGAGGGAGACAGGAGGTGCTCCAATGGAGCAAAGATCAGGGAACCAAGGTCCCATTTAGATGCCAGGAAGCACTTCCTGACATCAGGACCCCAAGGGTGTGGAATGGGCTTCTCCGGGAGGTGGTTGAGGCCCCATCGGTGTGGGTGTCCAAGAACAGGCTGGACATGCACATGGTGGGCATGTTGTGAGCGGAGCTGGCTGGTGCCGGGGGTCAGACTAGATGGCCCGGGAGACCCCTTCTGGCTCGCTCTGTTTCTATGTTTCTATCTCCCAAGGTGGCCCATCCTTGTGTTGAAGGCAGCAGCCCTGCAGATTTTGGGTGCTCCTTTCATCTTTTCCAAATAACTCCAGGCACACACACCATTCAAAGCAGCATTATTTGTTCTTATTGCAACTCTGATGGGCAGCACAGCTGTCCAATCAGATGCCGCTTTGGAGGTGTTTGAGTCACCAAAGCAGCCTTCTTCCATTCCCTATTGGCCAGTGCACATTGTGGCTTAAACGGTGTTCCATCACAGCACGGCTTTCCCTTTGGCACCCAAGAGGAGGCCCTGGGAAAGAGGGAAGGCTCATTCAGTGCTGTCTGTTCCACACTGCTTGAAAGACCCTCTTCAGGAGTCAACGAGTGGATGGAAGAAATTCCAGGCAAGGGACTGTGAGTGTTGCCCAGGAGGAGAAACCAGTCCTGGGGGAGTTCGCAGGCTGCCCTGGAACATGCTATGGTTGGTGCAAAGGGGTGTTTGCAGGATGAGAAATGGAATAGTTGTGTGAACGCTAGGGAACAGAAGTGGGGCACCTTCTCTCCCTGCCTCACGTTTAAAAATAAACCCCAGCTGCATAAATGATTTATGCTTGCATAACGGAAGAGCTGTATATCTCCTTAGATAAAACATCTTAAGCACAGGTAGATGTTTTCTGCTGACCTGCAGCAGCTTCTTCCCCCTCTTAGTCCCCTGTGTGCTAAATTGGAACTGGGCCTCTAAACAGCTCTGCCAAATTGCAGACTACAATTTTCCTGCCCTACAATAGTTGTATCTGTTGAATAGGCACAGCTCGCATTGGCTTTCTAAGTGGATCCATTGCAAGCGTACAAGCAATTCGTTTCTCATATGGCAGCACTCCTACGGGACATCCTACAGGACATGTGGCAGTCTTGAAGCTGTAAAGCTGCAATTCCCATCATCCTCAGCACTGGCAGTGCTGGCTGGGGCTCGTGGGAGCTGGAGTCAACAACATCTTGGTGGCTCTAAATTCTGTGCGCCAAGTTTCCCAGCCCTAGCTTAGAACATGAAACAAGCAAGTTCCAACTGGGCCATCTCATTCATGCTGCTCTCAGCCTCCCCTCTCCAGTATATTTATTTTTAAAAGTTCAAAAAGATGTTTAACTGGAAATAATTCTAGGAAAAAGAAGAAAAATATTCAAGATCACTAAGATTCTCCAAACATTGCCTTGCTGTTCATCTCATGCTGGACAGCAGTAATTGCTGCTCACAAATGGAACTGTGATTTGCACAATTTGTGCAAACAGAGCTGGAATGTGGAATTTGCGCAAACTTCCAAAGTGTGCAAGGATGCCCTTCTCTGAACGGTTTTCTTCCAGCGACACAAGTGGGGGTGATGCAGTGAACAGGCAGAGATTTGTGCAAGAGGCGACTGGGCAAGTTGAGCAAACTGAACACACCGGCAAACGGTGCCTACGGACAGGTGTGCACGCTCGTGCTTGGGGCTTTGAATGGGGTGTGCAAAGTGGGCCAAAACGAAACTCTTGTGTGCCCAACTGGACGGCTACTGTTTTGCACACGTGGGCCCCAGGTCATTATTAGAAAAGAGAGATTTGAGGTGGTGCTGGAGGAGTAGCAAAGGGTCTTGCTCCTCCTTGTCGTTTTTGGAGTGGTCCGTCTTGCAGCTGACCTGCTTGTTCTTCATGTGGATGTGCATTTCGGGTGAAATGGGAATTTTGGAAAACGGCTATCTGCAAATTGGCTATTTTGCTGAGCCCTGTGGGTGCGAAAAAACTGTTTGGGGGTTAGACCCCTCTGCCCCCCCCCCCCCCCAATAAGCTGCTCTCTCTTTTAGCTTCACCACTTGCCTTATGGGAAATGGGGCTTTTATGAATGGCCACACCCGCCATGAGCGCCTTTTTATGAATGGCCCGGTAACCCCACCCACATGACAACCCGTTGGTGCATCACGTGCGACGGTGGTGCACATTCTGTTCGCTGTCCTTTGGACTCTTGCCCTGCCCTCTGTACCGGGCTGCCTTTGCAAGTGGTCCGGAGACGCTGCCAGCGGTGACGGGCCAGCACGGACACCTCACGCCAGCAGGGCCGTCTCAGCGGCATTATGGGCCCCGGGCAACATGGTGTACTGGGCCCCTACGACAGCTACTCACAGGAACAAAAATGTAACAATGAAGGGTTAGCATACACAGATTAGTGTGGGGCCCACGGGCAGGTGCCGCTCAGGCCCATGTGCTCAGACAGCCCTGCACGCCAGTCCTCGGCCAATTGCATTGGCTACTGGTTGAAGTCCAGGCCTGGTCAGCGTGCTGTCGTTAGCACTGAGAGCCCCAGGCAGGTGGGGGAGGGTCAGCCGAAGGAATGCCTCCTGCCCTATGGACCTCCCCAAGCTCTGAGACCATCAGCAGAGGTCCCTCTCAGAGAAGCGCCCCCAAAAGAAGCAAGGAGGGTGGCTGCTAAAAATAAAAATAAAAAGGCTAAGACCTTTCTATTCAAACAATGTTTTAATAATGTTTAATATTTATTGGGTTTTTATTGTGCAGCCAGGGTGTTTCCAGGTTTTTAACTGTATTGTATGGTATTTATTTATTTCTGTGAGCTGTCCCGAGGCTATATAGCAAGGGGACGGCATATGAAAATGTTAAATGAATAAATAAATAAATCTAGAGGAAGGGCCTTCTCAGTTGTGGCATCCCACTTGAGGAATCAGCTCCCCAAACAGGCGTGCCTGGTGCCCACTCTCTGTGCCAGGTGAAACCCTTTTCATTTACCCAATCTTTCAATAGTTAGATTTTAATCCTCATTTTTAGCGTATTTTACTGAACATGAGATTTAGCTGCAATGGTGGTGGGTGGATTATTGCACTATTGTTTTAGCATATCATGGTGTTAATTGCATTGCTGCATTTTTATTATGTATGTTTTATATGACTCAGTGCACTTCTGATTTTGCAAACGGCCCAGGAACCTTTGAGCGGATGGGTGGCGGAGCAGCGTAACGGCCTCAAGGCCTGAGGGCACCCACCAGTCCAGACGTGCTGGGCTTAGGCACCTGGGCACACGCCTTTCTAACACGCCTCCCGGATAAATATTTTTCCTCCTGCAGCTGAGCCGGTACTTCAGTGGCATGGGAGTCTTGTGTGATGATCACTGGAATCTATGCAGCATTGGTTTGGAGTGTGTCGGGTGGCAAAATGGTCTGCTTATTTAAATGGAATGAATGCGGCAGTCAGATTTAAAGAAACGACTCCAGACTTTTCGGTACAGCGTGTTCTAGCTGCCACTGGCCCCCTCTCTCGCACGCTACACTCTGCTCAGATTAGCTCATCTGATTCTGAGGAGGTGGATCAGCAAGGGGGGGGGGGAAAAAAAAAAAAAAAAAAAAAACCCGCCAATGCCGGCTCGGCCCCCCCACCCCCCCCCCCCCCCCCGAATGCAGCTCGTTGCACTTGCTAATCTGCATACGGTTGAAAGTCTCTGTGAGCGTCCTCAGGGACCCTGAGTCTGAAGGGCACCCCTATTTGTGGGAGCAAAGAGAAGGGCTTCTCATTTCATGGAGACAGAAAGGCTTGGAGGAGCAGCAGCACACGTGGCCTTTTGCCTGCTCGCCCGGGGGAGAGGATGCAGCATCGACCATCCAGGCCTCTGAGCCTTGATTTCCTCCAGCACCCATGGGCAGCAGCTTGGTGGGGCAGAGATTCCTGGAGATTCAGGGCTCTAACTGAAAAGTTTGGGGGCCCAGCCCATCCTGCAAGAGCTCCTCTGGACTTCACGAGCTCTTCCAACCTTGGAGTACATTGTGGTCCCCAAAGCAAGGGCGTGGATGCCGCATTTGTTACCTGCTTTCAAGAGCTAACCAGGGATGAATGAGTTTGTCCGTTTCAGTTTTTCAGAGTGTCTCAGTTTTCTGGTCTTGCAGTCAGTTCCTCCCAAGCCATGCAAATTTTTTCTTCTAAGAATTCATTTGGAAGACGTTTTGATCCCTGTCTTTTGGATCTTTCTCCTGATGTGCATTTCTTTGCAGTTTTCCAAGCGATTTTTCTAATATAGGAGATGCTTATCATGATTTTCTGAAAAATGCTTGCACTTTGCAGGCACTTCCCCTTCATCTAACTTCTTGGGAGAGCTTCACTGCAAAATGTGCGGTGCCATGCATCAGAAGGACAGGTGTACTGGCTGGAGGGTGTGACGTTG